CACACACACACACGTAACAAATTAGAAAAAGCATCCCGCTTCAAATGAGAATTGACCTTAGTTACTTACCGATTGGCCCGTGAAGGAGCAGGACAATGTGCAGGCAAGCACTTGTTCAGGCAACAAGCTGGGAAAGAAGTAGCCGGACTGTGCCTTGTCGCTGTGGTTTTGCGTTGTAGCTGCAGTTTTGCTTTGTCGTCGGGTATGATTAACTTACTTTTATTTTAACGTTGGGTTATGTTCTAGCTTTAGTTTTAGATACACGAAATAGATTTGTCGTTGTTTTAGAGGCGCTATTCATAAGCCAAAGTTGATGCAAAGCACAATACGTACATGTATATTTCTCCAATGCCGGTACTTTCTGCTGATCAATAAGTTTTTCGCGCTAAAGCCATAATAGTGCGCTATTGCAGGCACTAATGGGTTACTCTCATTCGTAAACGACACGTATTTGAGTACACCCAAAACAATCGGCCACAATCCGTATCGATAGCGAGGTGGGTGCGGTCATACCCCCGAGTCGGCTCAACAGTATTGCGATCCCATACATATATAGTGAATGTTCACGGCCACTTGTTCCTGTGTTTGTAGTGTTGGCAAAACTAATCTTAGTCATCTTACCAAAGCCAGAACCCTGGATTAAAGCACAGCATGGAGACACGAAAACATCCGGGTCGGCCTTGTATTTAGTCCAGCATCGTACTAGATACTTGTAGAATTTCGGTCGTGCAGTGCCGATGTACTCCGTACATAGCCAATTTCTATCCAATATTCATTTCAAAGCTATTATGTTTATGTGTAGCTAACGCAACATACCTGACGTATATCTTGGTCTACCTTCGTTCTTCTTTTGCCATGACATGACCGAGAACTTGGGGCTTTTTGGCACAGTAAGCTTCCTCGCTGAGCTTTTCTTTTCCAATGGGCCAACCCCAGGAAGTTTCGACGTTGATCGCTGGGTTTTCAGCAAATTTCCTGACACACTTGGCTCATTTTCGTCTCTCGAGTCGAACGGATCCAGCTGTTTGGATTGCCTCATACTGGCCAGCATGTTGTCTGCTGAATCCGCAAGTGACTGACCGTTATTTGACCTCTGAGCTCGAATGAGCGAGTTGATCGAACCTACGTAGGCGTTAGTAGAACTTGCATTCCTGGCCGTTCGAGATCCATTTCCAGACGGACCCCGGGGCTTTGACCTCGTGGGGCCAGCAGAAGACACTCGTCGTGGCCTTCTTACCGCAATACTAGCAACCACAGTGTCCTCAGGCTGCTTCTTCGTAACTTTTGTAAGGAACGCTGAACCCGGACGGTTCGAACGCGATATTGCCGTACATACTGAACTGTCGTGTCGAGGTGGAGAGGAAGTCGCTGGACTAGACGACGAAGAGAGCGAATGCTCGGGATTCCTGCTCTTTGTTTGCCAAGCTTGGGAATGATGCACAGATGTAGACGTGCCGGAAGATAGCGAAGCAATTAACGCTTTTGAACGCTTCGTCAAGGCCATACAAGTCGCTAGGGCATCCGATCCAGACGAGGCTGGAACTGATCCTCCATTGTATAACAGAGTGGCAAGCGGACTTGGCTTGCTGGTATGGGCCAAGCGAGCTGATAAACTGGTTCGAGCGTATGATTTGGACTCTTCTGTAGGCTTTCGGATCGGCACATCCTCGACACTTGCTGCAGGTTTAATTTCTTCGGGGGGAGAGACTCGTGAGGATAAACTATCGGACAATAGCGTGGCTTGAGCTGCGACTACACGCACGTGTTCCTGTTGATTTGAGCCACTGGTATCCGCTTCTTGCTTCGGAACTGGAGGTTTACTGGTTGTTCGGATACGCTGACGATTCGACCCAAATGTGACAATGTTCGCTTGTTGCTGTTCTTTCCGCTCTTGTTGTTGACTTTGCTCCTGCGCTTGTCGTAAAGTTGCGTGTATTTTACTGATTCGAGCACTAGATCCACTTGAACTTGTCGATGCAGTGGGGGTAGGAATCACACTAGAAGTCAAAACAGAGCGGGGTTTCTCCACCGTATCGCGTTCTCTATTTTCTCCAATGTCAGTAGCGATAGAACCCGTAGAGTTCGTCCTTGTTAAAGTCGATTTTCGGTGGTTGTCCACTTCCTTGACAATAAGAGCTCGTAGATCCATTTTGCTTAAATTTTTCAAGTCGAACGAGAAATCGGCCCGCATACAAGGCGGAGGGTCCACTCCACCTCGATTCCGATACTTCCGCTCAATATCTTGCATGTACGGATGAGCAAGTGCTTCTTGAGCCGATATTCGTTTAGTCGGATCAAATTCCAGCATCCGATCGAGTAAATCCACTGCTGCGTCAGTTGCCTTAGGGAAGAGTGTTCGGAATGGAACTTTGGATTTCTTGCCTAGAGATTTCAAGAATCTTTGCGCTTGTGAGCTCTGGATTCTCATCGTAGCTTCGGGCGATGGAGCTCCGATCACATCGAAGATGAGAGTGAGTTGATGCAAGAAATTCTTACCGGGAAACAGCGCTTTGCGACCAAGAATCTCTGCGAAAATACACCCGACAGACCACATATCAACGCTTTGATCGTACAATCCATCGGGTTGCAGCATCAACTCCGGCGCTCGATACCAGCGTGTTACCACGTGTTCTGTCATAGGTGCTCGATCCGGTACTTTGGCCTTAGAGCTAGCCGCAGGAGCAGACCGTGGACGCTCCAAATTTGTCGTTGTGGCACCAAACCCACGAGGAATTTTACGTGCGAGACCGAAATCGGCAATTTTCAACTGACATGTCTTGCTCAATAGCAGATTTCCTGGTTTCAAATCGCGATGTAGCACTCCATTGTCGTGCAAGTACTTGACGCCGCGAAGAAGTTGGTGAAGGAAATATTTGGCGTGGGCATCGGAAAGTGGCTGAGAACTTTGTATCACCCGATGCATGTCCGTGTCCATGAGATCCATGACGATATACAGCTCGTCGTCCTTGATATTGGCCGAGAGATTGTGAATTGATATAACCTGGGAGAATAGAGGACGTAAGTACTTTACCCACATTATTTTTTAAACATATTCGTACGTTTGGGTGCTTGCCAAGATGCTGTAATAGTAAAACTTCACGGAGTGTGTGCTTCGCGTCTGTTGTACGCTTCGCCATCGGTGTCACCTTCTTAATGGCTACACATTGTCCAGTTTCTCGGTCTTTTGCAGCGCTACATATTCATCAGCTCGTCAGTCTGAGGTTACCGGAAGATCCAAGTAGACTGCGTACCAGACGACGCCATACGAGCCTTTGCCGAGAGGATTGAGGAACTGGTAGCGAGAGCTCACTTTGAATACACTACCGTAGACCTTAAATCCTGTGGAGCTGCTAGATGAGCTACTTCTTGAGCTTAGCGTACTACTTGAAGACGTGGAATATGCCATGCCAACTGAGTGAATCGAGAGCTTGGCCCTGTGTTATTAAGCAAAACACGAAGATGCAATTGGATAAACCCGTTCCTCAGAAACGATGCAAATAGAATGCATGGTGTTTTTTTTTCTTAGTGCTATATTCATACAACTGGAAGAGGTGGCCGTATATTTGATAACTGCTAACTTTGACCAGGAAAGGCAGCAATAACAGGATTCAAAAGGATTCTGACAAGCCGAGTACATGAAGCGTTTAGAGGGACCCCGGGGTCCCCATAATTTTTTTGTCGGTATCTTGAGTTTTTTTTTGTAGCACCACTTTATTTATGATGAGAATAGTCAAATTGAAGAAGAAAACGTGGTAACGCCGGCACCATCGATGGTTTTCAAGTATTGATCGTTAATGTTCCCGCCACAAACACATTTTCAAGTCCTTCGGCTCTCCCAAAAGCGACCACGTTACCAGAAACGTCTCGCATCTCAACAAAATAAAGAAAGCACTCCTGAATCGACGTTTTATTGTTCACGCATCACTGAAGAAGGCTGGTACGCGTTCTAAACAACACAATTTATTCATTATTTTGACTTTTCAGAACACAACTATTCTATTTACCGCTTTGCACCAGGAATATCTAAGAAATTTTCATGTCATGAAAAAAACTTAGGTATTGAAAGCCAGTTCTTCAAAGTAGTCCGTCCGTAATCTTGCCTGAGCCCTGGCATAGCATCCCGGAAAAGATACAGTCACACGTCCGATGAGTCCGCAGCAAAACGGAAGTAGATATTGCGCCCACCTATCTACCCCCCCCCCCCCCCCCCCCCCTTCAAAACAAACAGGGTACCTTTCCAGTTGTTGGTAACGACAGAAACATGCAAAACACATGCATTTACTGTCCAAACACACAGTAAATCATTTATCTTGGCTAAAGTAAACTTTTGACCTCCAATGCGTCGCAATAAGGCATAATTAAGTCTCACAGGTAGTCGCTACGCTCCACAGTTGCCCGGCGTTTGCACCACCAACTTCGCTTCGCTCGTGACGGGCAAGGATTCCGCGCGGATTAGATTGTAAGCTCTAGTTTCGGAACCTACTCCGGCCTACGCGCCGACCCCTGACACTGTCAGTGACAGACCTCCACTGCGCTTCGGTTGTCATGGCGCCTCTCGAAGGCCTCATAGCGCGGCTATGGTTAGCTGCATCGTGTTTGCGCTATTGCGCCAGAGAACGGTATGCTTCTGACAGCTGCTTGCTGGGGTAGACTGGATATACGTACGCACTATTAATTCGCAGGCATCAATAACTTTTTTCACCCCCGCGTACAGCCGTAAGTTGTAGTATTGTGAAGTATTACAAAAGATAGCCAATTGATTCTTTGTATCAACAAGGGTATCAGTAATCTCAAAACCTGACGGGCAGACCGAACAAGTTGAGAATACAAAACGCATCACGACTCTCAACTTTTTTCAAAATCATCTATTTTGTGCGGCGGCATTGCAGCATGATGACATCCGTATGGCAAGAGTGGAAAGCCTCTCAAGACGACACAGACATTGTGGATACCGTCGTCGTTTCGTGCGGCAACTAAACTCTGACTGCATTGCGCTTTGCAGACTTTGTACTTTCACTTGTACTTCGTAAAATACCTTCACAGGTGACGCGTCAACCTCTCGTTACTGCATCACGAAATCATTGTACTACTAGTAGATTTCGTTGCCCTCCGAGTCGTTCCCTCATGTTACCGATATCACGTTTGGAGGCTCAGTATCGCCTTCATGATTTGTATTTACGATACTGTACTTCAATGCTATTATAATAGAATTCATTCCAAAAAACGCAAATTTCGAAGTATGATGTTATCACCAGTTCAAGGCTCAAAGCTCGGTCATTGATGTGATATCTACATCGAAAGGCAAGATAAAATATATATCTTGAGCTATACTTTACTTTCTACAAACTACATACGCGCGTTTCGTAGTTTTAGGCATATTGCCAAAATCGTTGACATTAAGTAGCTTATGCTGTGTTAATAAAAGGAAGAAGAACATTAAAAGTTGTTTTTTTGCTACTGGTACTTGTGAGTTACTAAAGTAACGATTACGTTCTGAGCCTCATACAACTGCCTGATCCCAACGTGGGTACAAACAACTACATCGGGATGTATGTACAGTAGTTACTGCAGCTGCGAAGCAGGCGCAGAAGATGCTGAGCTGAGCTTGGAATATTTTTTTTTTTTCTTTATACGGTAGATAATTGTTGTTGTGTCATTGCGAAACATTATTTTTGCTATCCCAGTTTATGCGATCTCTTTTTGAGCAGCATCAGCCAATCAAATCACTAAAATGTCCAAAAACATGCGTTCACTCTGGGTCAGAGTACGAGCACTATTATAATTAGCAAAGCAAACTGAATACAATGCACAATATTTCAGCGCATCGGAAGCGTTACCAATCAAACGAGTAGTTCAAGTAATTCGAAGCCCATTTCCCGTTTTGCAACGCCAAGCACAAGCCACTTCAAGCGACATCCCCTTATACTCTCATACATCTCCTGCTGAAAATGAAGCTCGTTCGAGTTGGCCTGTTATCTGCCGCATTCGCCACATTCGTGAATGGTTTCTCTTTTTCCGAGCTTACGCCCGACGAGGAGAGTCGCATCTACGGCGGCTCGAATGCAGAGATTGGCAAGCATCTGTACATTGCAAGCCTTCATTCTAACGGCTCCGACAGTGAGTTGTTTTGTGGTGGCACATTGATCGCGCCTCAGTATATCCTCACCGCTGGTCATTGCTTGGATTGGCCCATGTACGACGTGTACGTTTCACTCGGATCGAAACACCGGTCAGGTGGGGGCTCTCAAAAGGCCGAAATGATACGTGCTGTGGAGGCTTATCGCCACCCACTGTACCAATTGTCGGCTGATTGGACGACCCTCACGCACGATGTGGCATTGCTCACACTTGAGACACCATCCAAGATTCAGCCAGCGCGTCTGGCTTCTGCAGATGGATCTGACAACAAGCCTGGTATGATGGCTACGACCCTCGGCTGGGGTCTGGTGAACAACGAGACTGGCAGCGAGACCCTCCAAACCGTGGATGTCGAGATCATTACGAACAAGAAATGTGCCAAAATGTACGCGGACGCTCGCGAAAATTCGGCTGTGGATGATTCGGTTATCTGCGCCGGTCACGGGAACGAAAAGGACTCCTGTAGTGGCGACTCTGGTGGGCCTCTTCTAGTGAGCAATGTGGTCGTGGGGGTTGTGAGTGGTGGACCTGATGAATGTGGCGTATTGCCTGGAATATACGCTCGCGTATCCATCGCGCTGGGGTTTATTAGCGATATTCAAAACGGTGGATCCACTGGAGATGTCACGGCTGCTGACCGCTGGAAGAACCGATGTCATTGACGCTGTTTATGCAGAGATGCAAGATGGAGCGATCCAGCAATCGGAGTGATGGCGGAAACATTACTGCAAAATATGGTTCCCGTTTGAGATAGGAAAGCAGTTGATAGCGAAACTGCGCGACGCTCGATTAATAACCGCATACAAAAAGTGATCGCTTCCGTGCATCTTTAAGAATTTGTCTGTTAACCACTCATTTTGAATTTAGAGGACAAGGAGATTGTAGTCGCGAAAATGGTTTCTACCTATGCTCTTATCAACTACCAAAGGCGCTAGGTTGGCCAGGATCATTTGTGTCAAGTGCGCAACTATCTACAATTAAGCCACCGTCAATTCTTGTATTTTATCCGCTGATTGCGGTGGAAGAGTGAGCTATGGGTCAATGTGTATTTTGGAATATGAATTTAAAAAATAGTAAGTGTAATTGATACTAAAGAGATGCCCAAATTGTATGATGCTATTTTTCATCAAGTCGTCTGATAGACTGAACCAGTAGCCTCTTCATCAACTGTTTACGGTCTTCCTTTAGTTTCTTCTCGTACGCAGACATCTTGTCATAAAGCATGTTAATCAAATCTGGATGAAACGATTTCCAGCGACCGAGAAGCTTACGTTGAGCCAGCCAATTCTCCAGATCTTTCTTCTCCATTGGTGGCATGTAGCAGATAGAGGTTGGCAACAGCGGGTCAAAGTCCTCACGCTTCAAGTATTTCTTCATACCAGAATTGCGAGCATACACGTCGTCCCAGAAGACGTACCAACACGTCTGTCTTGGGTTCAAGTAGACCCACTTTTGACGAAGATACAGCGCATCCAACGCCAGCTTGTGTTTTTTCGGAAGATTTTGTAGTAGCGGATTCGTCTCGTGTTCGCGGAGATATGTTTCCAGTTTATTCCGAGCGAGATGGGGATTATAGTAAACAAAAAACCAGAAAGTGTCGCTCAAAGCTGCATTTTCGTTCTCATGTTTCGCAATGAGTTCGTGACGATACTTCCGATGTTTTTCACGAAGCTCCTTGAGACCAGACTTCCACACACTTTCTGTGGCTTTGAAAATCATACTCAACGTCTCGCTTTCCTCCATAGTGGGCTTCAGGCCGATATGATCAGCCTTCATGAGTGCCTTGCGTGGACCTTTCACCTTAATTCGGTAGTCCGAGTCCGGGATTTCGACTACTCCAGTCCCGTCCTTGTATTTCATGGTCACGTTGAAACCATCGGCCATGATCCTTGTTCTGCTTTTTTTTTCGGTATTTGGTTGAGTTGGCTTGAAGAAAGTCTGGAAAAATGACACCTTAGTGATCCAGATTTTCAATTTTTGTAGCCACTTCTGCTCACTCAGCCATTTTCTGACTCGCTGCATCGCTCCACTCTTGGACATCCGCAGTATCGTCCCTGCTTTGTCACTGTTGGACTGCACTCGAATGATTCCCTTTTTGTATTTGCATTTGAATTTGTAGAATCCCGGTGTCAGAATCACAGGAATACAAATACATTTCCACCTTTTCCACTCGAGAATCCTTGGCCATAGAAATACTTTTTCAGTGCGCTCAAACACAAACATAATCTGCGTCTTGGTATCACTCAACACACGTAGCTTCTGTCGTAACTCGCGCTTCTTCATGATATCTGGTGTGAAGTTTAGAAACAGCAGCTTGGATAAGTTTTCGTAGCTTTTCAAGGGCGAAAACTTGTCACAGTCGTCTCTGATAATGGCCTCGTCTTCTGCGTCGTCATACACCACAACGCAGTGGAAGGGGTACGGAACAACGTACATTTTGCCAAAACAAGTAACGGAATCAAGGTGACCATCTCGGGCTCCGAATGGGTTATTCCAGTACACATCCACACCTTCAAGGGCTTCACGGGCCAAGCGACGTAGTTGCGTTGTGTACACATGTTCTGTCCCGAACCAGTGCGACTCGACGCGCTTCAAACCAGAGGCAACCACAGCTTCTTCTAATGATGCAAGTCGGTCGGTTCCTTTGACGCTAACGTCCTTGCTGCCTCCGCCTTTCCATTTCTGATTGCTAACGTCGTCGCTGCTTGTAGGAACAGCCAACTCAAGAAGAATAGCTCGCCAAAACGCCTGCCACACACGATGCTTTGCTTCTTTTGCAATATCCCAATACGGAATAATGGTTTTTGCTCGGCCGTCGTCAATCCCTCGTGAGGTATCACTGAACGAGAGCCACCCGGTCAGTCTCTTGAGTTGAACGCGCAGTGCACTCACTCCGAACGCTAGCGCTACAAGCATAGCTACCATATTGACCCAGTGAACTACAACTACAAATCCCATGAAGCGATTGACATGCGTTACTGCATTCGGAGATGTATCCACCACTTCGGATACGTAGGCAACCGCAGTTGCTCCGACTGCAGTAGTCAGAGCCGTGGTTTTGGAAATGAGCTCCATTAGATCGTCAACCGGATCGATGAAAGGCTGGCTGTACTTTGATAGCCCCACCACGAAGAAATAGCAAATGCTAATGAGCAACCCACTAATTCTCACGGACTTCGCTGCAGCGACCACGATCAAAGCCAGAACTGTCTTTGCGATCATTTGAAGCACTTTGTAGATGCTCCAAGATCGTTCAAAACCAGCGTATAGCGATCTAAATGGGCACCCAAGCTGGCTGGGATCGCTCGACACTAGCTCAGTGTAAACTTTATCGTCGAAGGGAACCTCCTCACCATCCAAATCGTACGTATAGTCCTCGTCTTCGAGCGATCCATTAGGACGATTTTTCCAAATCGACCATATCAGCAGAATCGGTAACCCCAAAGTGAACGTCAGCAGAAGAAAAATGGCTTCGAGAGGGAAGAAAAACCAGAGGGGGCCATCTCGGTACCTGTGCATGAAGCCGACTTTCTCCGCCGAGCTGTGGTCATGCTTGTCGTGCGTTACAACGAGTACGTTGAACGCCAACTGAGTGAGGGGTAAATACAGCGTCAGAATAACCGTGAGGAAGATGGTGGTTAACTTGGTTGTGCGTGCATTTTGCGAAGCATAGGAAGCCCAAGTTGTAGCTTCATGGCCGTGGCGAACTTTATCAGCCATGCGAGGCATCTTCCACCAAAACCTGATCACCATAATCAGAAACGCGAAGTGGATTAATAGGATGCAGCTCAAGAGAATGGCTGTACCCAGTTCTTTACTGAGGTTGCGTAATAGTTTTGACGCATCCAATGCGATGACGTTATACACTTTTCTCAGCCACGTGATCATAAGCAGAATCCAACCTGGAGGATGGTAATCACGGAAGAACTCAAGAACGGGGTCGTACAAACCGTCAAAGAACAAACCAGCGATCTGGAAAAAATCACGAACGATTTCTATGCGAAGCAAGGGGGGGAATCTTGCGATAATCCCTGCGATGACTCCTCCAACAAGCATCTGGCGTTGTTCCCGGAATGATTGAAGCATGGTATCAACCTGTAATCGACTCATCGCCAGCTTGTCTTTCATCCCAACGAGACCGTTGCGAGCAATTCTGTTGGCGAGAGCAGCCGCATCCGACGTATCGATTAGATCTTCATCGCCACCAGCTTGAACGTCTTGCTCGGCAACGACTTCGCCTCCAACAAACCGCAACGATCCTGTTTTGTTTCCCAGTTTTTGCTGCATCGGCTGTTTAACCTCCACTGCAACTTGCTGTGCGACGTTCGCAGAGATCTTACTGCTAACTGAGCTGTGCACCAGTGACCAGAGAGCAAGCAGCTCTGGAATCGGGGCATGCTCCAGCGTAGTCAGATTACACGAGGCAACTGCTGCCCGTAGCTCTGCCAGCTTGGTTTCTTTATAGATTTTTATCTCATCCAGTTTAAGGCCAGGTACACCATAGCTTTCATATTCTTGAGGAGGTTTGGCACAAAACTCGAGTGCATGAGAGTCTCGAATCTCTACGATATGATCCATTGACAGCATCTTACCCTCGTTTTTCATGCTCTCGATAGCTTCGTAACACTGAAGAGAGAGTCGAGGCACTGGCTTTCCTCCTAGAATTTCCCCTAGATCTCGAAGATCCTGTAAAATCGATGAATCCAATGCTTCCTTCGTTGCAGTTTGACTTTTGAGCTTCACCAGACACTCTTTCGTCATCTTGGTAACAGGCAAAAAGCGTAGAACGTCCAACAGTGCTGTACCGACGGTTTTGACGGCTTTGGCTGTTTCTCCAACGGGAGGGAGGGCTGTGAGCCCCGTCGCCTTGCTGTTTGCTTTCTTGAATCGTGGCTTGGGAGAGTCCTGAATAGATATGGTGACGTGATCTGCGTCTTCATCCTTGAGAGCCAAAACGTGTTCAGCACTCCTAGTCACGGAAGCTGCGTCGTGGTCTCGGCTGTTGTCTGTGTCTTCGACGTGAGTTTCACTGTGTCTCAGGTTTTCATGAACTGTGGCCGCTGTCTGGTAGTCCACTCGAACCAATTCATCTTCAGCGACCAAATCAAGACTACTCGTCATAGCGCTGGAGGTCAACTCAAGAGCTTCACCCACGACTTCGCCAGCACCGCTGTCGTGTCGACCGATACCAATACTTTGACTATGCTCACCAGCCTTCATCTCCGAACCATTCCCATTCGCACCACTAGTCACCGGGGTAGATGTGAGCGATGATCGTCGCTCAAGAAGTGTTGCCACCACACTGGACACAGCCTGAGCAAAGAGATTTGTCTTACGTGGAGACTCGCCTTGCTCATAACTGACACCTTGGTGCCCACTGACATCGGTGCTGGGGTTAGCTTGAACGGAATTACTGCTCTCGCTGCTACTAACACCACTCCCATCGCTCTCTTCACTGGTGTCTACTGCCTGGCCCTGCTCAGTCTCGAGAATCATTGGATCGATTTGACTCGTCCCAATTGGTTCCTTCGACTCGAATTCATCTCGACTCTCTTCATCCTCAGCACTGTCTTCAGTCCTAGAGTCACCATCGTTGCTGTCGTCCTCCGAGTCATCATCGCTATCGTATGAATCACTTTTTTGGTCTTCACCAGTCGTAAGCGTCTCATTCAAAGCAGTGTCATTGTCTTCAATCTTCTCCTCACTGTGATCTTCTTCAACACCCCCTTCATCCACGACATGTTCAGTAACTGTTGCCACTCCTGTGTCGCCATGTTGCTCCACTGTTATGTCACCACCCAATGGCTGCCTGTCTCGGAACGATGCAATTAGATCCGACGCCACATCGAACAAACTCTGTCGCCGTGGAGAACTGGAACCTTTGGGCGAAGCCATTAGGTCAGCTCAAGTCTAGATAATACTGATCCACTGCGTCCACCCAACTATGCCTTTACTTCTCAAGTGCTTGTTGTGAACTGGAATTGGTTTCGTTGCTCGCAGCCATCGGTGCTAACAGGAAGAATTCCCGTCCGTTTTACGCCGTCCCAAGCAAAAACGACTCAAGGACAATGGGATATCAATCATTTATTATCGTTTAACTAGGTGGAACTCGGTCTATCGAGATCTAAGCTATTTACGACTGTGCACGTTAATCCAGAGCGTCAGGAAGCCCAACGCTCTGTAGCCAACGTTCAGAATGAGCAGTAGTATACCGTCAAGCAGCACTGATCGTGTCGAGATACTGTAGTTTTCGAGAACCTGCTGGCCTGAAAGTGCGATGCAGTTCTCCGTCCCCTCGCTGCACGGGATCGTGGACACTTCATCCCAGAAAACCTTCATCATCCCATCGAACCCGAATTTTATCGGAGAAATGTAGTTGATCCAGACAAAGTATGTTGGCGTGTCGTCCGAGTTGACCATGAGACCTCCAAAGAGCAGCATTGGCAGCAAGATGAGCATTCCCATGATCGTGGCGACATCAGCACGACGGAAGAAGCATCCAATAGCATAGGCCAGACCAACCGAAGCACTGCGTGTCAAGATGATCATGATCTGGAGATACAAGTAGACACTGAAGCCGTGGCCGATACCGATCAAGAAATACGCCGGCACAAATACCGTAAACGGCAGCAAGATCTGCATGGGCAGGTCGCTCAAGTTTCTCGCCACATACCACGAGGCCAAGTGGAACAGTCCGGCTTCGTACTCTCTGCGTACCATAGTGATCTCTAACGGTAAAGACGCGAGTTGAATCTCCACGGCAGCGAAGATCTCGTTCGCCATGAAGTAGAAGAACGCACCCGAGAAGTTCTGGATGGCACGCTGGTTCATCTTGAGTTGGAGATACACTAGACCCATCAAAATGCTCACCACAAGGGACTGGCCAACCTCAGCGTGGAAGCGCGTCTTGTCTCGAAAGAGACTGAGCACATTACGACTCAAGACAACACGGAGTTGACCGATTAGATCTAGTCTGTCGTTCTTGAATCCATCGAGCTTCGCGTCTTCGTAGATGGTAGTTTGATTCGTTTTGAGAGGAGTTAACACGCCGGTGTGGCTTCGAGTCGCCCAAGCGGTTTTTAGGCCCTCAACACGAGCGACTCCAGCTACATCCGACGCCTTGTCGACCACCACGAGTTGACGCATGAAATAGTCGGTTGGGCTCACGAATGGGGGACATTGATATCCAAGTGAAGAGAAGTATTCCACAGCTTCGACTGCTGGTCCATCGTACACACACGCACCGTCTGAGAGCAAGTAAAGTTGATCGAAGAGCGTAAACAGCTCCGAAGACGGTTGATGGATTGTGGCGATGACGGTACGGTTACCGTCACGAGCGATTTCCTGTAGCTGCCTCATTACGGTCTCAGCCATGAAGCTGTCGAGGCCAGAGGTTGGTTCATCGACGAATAGTAGCGACGGGTTGGTCAGGATCTCAGTGGCGAACGACAAACGCTTTCGCTCACCACCGGAAATACCACGCAGGGAAGTTCCACCGATCAGGGTGTCGCGACATTTAATCAATCCTAACTGCTCCATGACGTCGTCAACGCGCTTCTTACAGTCATGAAACGAGACGTATTTGCCCATTCGAAGTTGAGCCTGGAACACCAAGTGTTCGCGCACTGTGATGGTCTCGTAGAAGAGATCGTCCTGCACGACGTAGGACGTTTGCTGCTTGAGTTGCTTGGTCCATGGTTGACCGTTGACGGTGATACTTCCGTCCAGTCCGTCTCGGACATCCTTACGTCCCGAGATACAATCCAGCAGAGAACTCTTACCAGCTCCGGAAGGTCCCATCATAACGAGTAGTTGACCCGGATGAGCAGATCCACTGACGTCATTGAGGATAACCTTCTCCTCTTTGCGCTTGGACTCGTTGCTCGCGGTCGTTACCTTCAGGGTCACATGGCTCCACGCTAACGTGAACTGGGGTGCGTTACCGATTTTTGGGGTCTCCACTTGGATAAACTGCGAATCTGCGTCTTTCTTGCTGGGTGAGAGCATAGCTGTTGATGAGCGTGGCTAATTCAAAAATGAATGAAGACGACGAAGCCCACTCCAGGAATTACCACTGCTAACACGGTGCAACTGTAAGAAGTACTACAAACGTGCAATCATTTTGGATGACGGACGCCTTTTTGGTTGCTGACTAAGCGTCGCTAATCACTAACCCGATTATGGACGAAGTCGATCGTTTCCTTGAAAGCGTCTCTAATCGAAAAAGTGACCACCGCCATTTATAAAAGCGGCTTACCAAGGCTTAACTAAGGCCTTTAGTTAATCCTTGGCAAGGTGATCGTTCTTGTGATGACAAGCTCCCTAGAAGTAAAACAACCACGTACAATTTTAGTGTAACCATACGTATAAGTGTGTAGGCGACACAAGTAAGATGCGTGTTCTTCTATGTTCCCCACACCAAACAGCTTCTATCATATCGTCACACAGTGTCCTCTCACAATCGAATCCACCCAATCTTTAAAACATCATGTACGCCGGTGGCGGAGCGAACGAGGGCGATCACCACAGCGCAGCCAACGCGCCCTTCTCAAGCGCTGCGGCGGAGGCGAACGACCTGGATGCGCTGGTGTTCGAGTTCGGCACGTCGCGCTGCAAATTTGGCTACGCGGGCGAGGACTTCCCACGTGTGTACGAGCGTCCCGTACCACACGACGAAGTACAGGACGACGCGGAATTAGGACGGCGTCTGAACCGCAGGTCGGCGCAGGTCGAGAGTGACCCGGAGAAATTGGCTCAATGGCTGTTTGATGCCAGCAGCTCCAGGCTACAGACAAGACTAAGCGAGCATCCATTGTTACTGGTGGAGAGACCCTTCACCCTGCCTGAAGAAATCACGGGAGATGCAGGACAGGCGCAGGACGAACAGGAAGACGCAGGATCTAGATCCACCGAGACCAAAACGGTACAGGCCAGCAGCGCCAGCAAGAAGAGGGACCTAAAGGCCAGAGAACAGATGGTGGAGGTCGTGATGGAGGAGCTGGGCGTGCCTGCGCTCTTCTGTGCCAAGAGCGCCGTCCTAGCCTGTTATGCCAACGCTAGGACCAGCGGCCTGGTGGTGGAGATGGGTGCTACGTATACTAGCGTCACCTCGGTACATGAGGGTTACGCATTTGCGTACCCCAAGAGTCAAGTGACTCTGTTTGGCGGTCATGATTTAGACGCCTTTTTAAGAACCAAACTGGCACCACAAGTTTCTAAAACTTTAGAACAAAAACTGGCGACGTCGACAGAGGCGGAAATTGCTAAACGGAAGAAACAGACGTGGTCTTACGTGGTGGAAGCCAAGGAGAGCGGACTGTGCCGTGTGGCGGACGGACCGTTCGATGAGGCGCAGAACGCACAATTGCCTTTGATCAACTACGAATTACCGGATAAGACCATTGTGTCTTTGGGCACTGAGCGATTCAGTGTAGCGGAACATTATTTCATGGGGGAAACGGTGCCCCGTACTGCGGACGGCTCGGACAGCAGTAAGCCGGTGAATGAAGGCCCGGGTATGAGACTTCCGGAATTAATCTGCGAGACTGGTGGCCTTACGACAGAAACGGAGCTAAGAAAGGAATTGTTCCAGAATATTGTTCTGACTGGAGGAAGTTCGTGCTTCGAGAACATGCCGACGAGGATTGAACGTGAGGTAGTGACTACGTTGAGTGGGATGCCACTGCCGCTTACAGGTTCTGGTAGCAATGGGGCAGCCGGCGGATATACCAGCAGCTTACGTGTGAAGGTGGTAGCAGCTCATCCGCAAGAACGTCGCGTGGGCGCCTTCCTAGGTGGCTCCATCTTGGCATCGTTGGGGTCTTTCCACGAGATGTGGATGTCTAAAGCCGAATATGCTGAGCACGGTGCTACTCTTATTCACAAGAAATGCCCGTAGATTTCGCTAATGTCAGTTTGCTATTGCTTTTTACGTGCTCTTTTGCAAATTGGCTTTTAGAATGGTTAAATTGAGGTGTCAGCAATCGGATTCCTAAATCTGCTTACAAAAACCAAATTATGATATGTTGTGAACATTACCCTTTTCGACCTCTCTCAACAACGTTGCAATAATGGAGGACATCAAAGTAGACGAGGTATCTGCGTATGTGTTTGACTGGCTTAGTCGCAAAATGCTGAGGCCAATGGGGGAAAGATGGTGAAATTGATAAGCAGCAAGCGAGACGGCCTCCTTTTCGAGATAATCCAAAGTTACAGTCTAAATGACAAGGAGAGGAACAAATTTGCATCAACCATCACTACACCATTTCAGGTCCGTTCTCCCCAGATCGGGGATTCAATACAACCACCCCCCGGCCGACCTGTGCATAGGTCTGGACAAACCTCAGTTCAAACTAACCACTCCAGTATTCAAAAGAACCAGTCCGCTTTTTTTTGCCTGTACCAGCAGCTGACCAGCTGGGTACATGTCAACTTTTGTCAATTACCTACCGAACCTTCGAGAATGGCGTTTAGCTCTTCCACCGCTCGGTGCAGTTTGACATTTGAAGGATGGGGAAAACGTACCCTGAAGACGTTCGTGCACGTGTCCTGGCGGCTGCGGAAGTAGGCGATAACTGGCGGCAAGTTGCGGCTCATAACGGTGTCGTCATAGAGACCGCACGAGGTTGGGTGCGTCGTGCAAAACGTTTGGGTGACTTTACGCCCGCTCCGGACAAGAGAGGTGGGGCCCACAACAGGAAGCTCAAGCCTGCTCAAGTGGCGTTTCTGGAGGAGAGTTTGGAAGAGAACTGTTATCTAACGCTGGAGCAGATGAAGGAGATGCTGCTCGACCGCTTTAACATCAACGTCGCGGCCGAGACTGTGCGAGCAAACCTTGATGCCCTTTGTTATACAGTGAAAAAGGTGCATCGCGATAACAACTACCGGAACACCCCCACGAACAAGTTCAAAAGACAGCAGTTTGCTGTGAAATTGTTGCAGTATATGGCGGCGGACAAGAAGATCTTGTATCTGGACGAAACCAACTTCAATCTGTGGATTAGCCGCAGCAATGGGTGGAGCGTTCAAGGTACTCGCGCGGTGGACTTGAACACGTGTAGCAAAGGCAGCAACATTCATGTTATTGCTTGTATTTCACGCGATGGAGTTGAGTATTCGGAAGGGCGTTTCGGGTCGTTTAAGTGGGAGTCTGCAAACGAGTTTATTCGCTGTATGCTGCGTGCCCAGGCGGCTCATGCAGATCTCACTAATGTTGTCGTTGTGTTAGACAACGCACCCTGCCACAACCGCGCCGAAACAGTGTTTGAAGAGGACGAGTTTGCTCAAGTCGAATGCCTACGTCTCGGACCGTACTCACCTATGCTGAATGGAATTGAGAACGTGTTCTCTGCGTACAAGTCAGCAGTGAAGCGGTACATGGCAGTGAACCGATGCAAGATTCTTGACGTTCCTCAGGGAATGACCATCACAGCTCATCGCTCGACATTTCTGCTGCATGCGGCAAACAACATCTTTCGTGAGGTCGTCACATCCGAGCTTTGCCGTAAGTGCATTCATCACACCTTCGGGTTTCTTGCAGATGCTATCCTACTGAAAGACATGGCCGTGGGAAATTGACAAAAGTTGATAATTCCTCTCCGAAAAAAATAAAAATAAATAATAAAAGGTGCACTGTGCATTTTGAATCCTGGGTCTGGTTATTTTGAACTGGGGTTTGCCCGCCACTATGCACAGGTCGGACCCGGGGTGGTTGTATTGAAACCCGGGGGTGGGGAGAACGAATCTGAAATGGTGTAGTCTTGGTTGCCGCCGGTGAAGAATGACGGCAACCACGGCGGACAAGCTAAGATACAACTATTTTTATCTCAAACAAATGATTATGCCCTGAGAAGGTACGCCCCCTTTTTTTTTTTTAAAGGAAATGTACGTAATAATGCATCATTGTCGTCCATGATCTCGTACTCCATATGTTTTGTCCCAATTCAATGCTGCCCCGGATTAACCAGCTTA